CAACTCTCGCCGGACGATATAGGCTCACTTAGAAGAACGAAAAGCTCCGAGATGAGCACATTCGTTCTGGCTAACAACCACGCACATGCAATACATTCCAAAAAAAAAGTGGATATGTGGTTCAAGGAACAGTCTATCAACGTAGGGAAACTTGGGCGAGGACAGCAAGCTATGTACAAGACGTTACTGAACGTTACTAACGAGAAGCGGCGCCTGAGGAAAAAGAAATACATTCAACAACAGGAGTTAGTGAAGCAGCAGCTACGTGAGAAGGCTGCTAAAGAGAGGCACGACACTGCGATGGAAATGAGCGGTCTGAAACGAAGGAAGAAAAGAAAAGATCTGCAAAATGGACTGCCGGACATAGGAGAGGACGGAGAAGAAGAGGCGAATGGGAAACGATTGGAAGAATCAACCCGTGATGAGAAAGACCAGAGCAAACAACACGGTGATGGGAACCATACGCAGTCGAATTATGTATCAAACAGAGCGGTATATTTGGAAACACCCGTTAAAGCTAGTGGTGAAAAGAAAAACTCTGAAGAAAAAAATCGACTGTCTGAGAATACCGAACCTGGTACGAACTCGACTGAGACTGATGTTAGTTTTTCCACAAATAGTGCCAAAAAGACGGACATTACACCCACAGAAAGAAGTGAATTAGGGGGGCAATTTGAAGATAACTTAATAGACATAGTTTCAGTGGCGAATAAAAAAGAAAGAGACTTAAATGAACAAACAAAAAAGAGAAAAGAGAAAAAGGTAAAGGAACCCGTCGGTTTGTTTCCAAGCATCTCGTTAACGACGTCCTACCTTACCCATGGAGCACCCGAGAGAGATAGCGACAAAAAGCAGACAAAACCCGGCAAGAAATCGCCAACCAAAGAAGAACACCGAGAAAAATCACCTTCGCCCGAAGTTAATGAAACCAAACAAACAGAAAGAAAACATCGCATGATTAAAAAAGAAAAAGAACCAGAACAATTACCTGGATATTTACAGAGGAGCTCCGGAGAAGGGACGGGGAGTACGTCCAGTTCTTCTGTCGGCGATAGCGTCGAACGAAAGGGTAAACCTGAGCGAAAAGTGAACATTCGTAACTTCAAACGGTTCACGCGAAGTATCAGAATTCCCTCAAATGTTCACATCCCACGGGTATCAAACGTTACGAGGTACCGGAGAAACGAGAACGGCAGCTTGGTACCCAGCGAGATTAGCGTGAGACCCGCAGACGAGGACTACAAAATTCCTTCTTTAAGGCAAGCCTATTTTGTCAAGAAGGCTCTGAAGGAAGAAAAGGACAAGGCGAGGCAGAGCGAGAAAAAACTCCAGGACTTTTATGGTAAAATGGAATCACTCGGTAAGTCTCAAGTAGTGTGATAAAATAAAATATATTAAAATATAATATAATATAAAATAATAGGATATTATCATAAGTGTGTATACATTGTGGGATGCGCGTTATTTTATACCATCAATTACGCGTTACCAAATGAGTATATCGCCACCCAATTCTCTGCCCTAAAATACAAGGTTCTTCATCTGGCCCCGAGAAGCATAACTTTTCACAGAAGTGCTATTTCATAATGGCACAATACATTGTGTTATCTAGTTGAAGCATTAATGTAAAACCATTTGAATGAAAGCACCTGCAACCGATTCGCGAGTCTCAATTGCAAACACATGTCAATACACTAGAACGATAAAAACATCCGTCACGAACTCGTGGTATCATTTCGTTTAACATCGATGCCAAAACAAAATATACGTCTAAATTGATTGCCACTTTACACTATCCCCAGTGCTTATGGATTGGCCGTAACCGTTAACGAGAACTTCTCATACAGTTTTATTATCACACCTGAAGAAAAGTAACCACGTTTCATATATCTTTTTTAATTAAGTTCTATTTCCTTGCAATGGCCATGGAACAGAAGTGAACACAGCACATCAATGTGGCCCAACAACAATCATATAACAGTACGGGCGATAAAAAAACACAGTATTGTAATGATTTCAGCTCTAAGACCAATGCATTCAGTCGTGAAACCTAAACGACCCTGGCAATTCCTGAGAGACAACGACCTTTCAGGTCGTTTAGTTTTTTTTTTCATTTTTATTGCAGGCCTCGGATACCCATCTCGATCAGTTAAAAATGATAAAATCACGTTGAAATAACCATTCAATAAACCATCAAGGCGTTACGGATTTGTGTAGCTTGTTTTAGGGTTGAAGTTTAAATATTGACAACGAAGCGGACACGTTTTTCAGATATAGATTACTCCCACCTTGTTCTATAATCGTTCATCGCACCTGGATACGGAGCAATGTGACACTTGACCGCAATCACCCCCGTTTGTTTTCGACAAGCAATTCAGAAAATGCCAAGCATTGAACGAGCCTGTTAGGCTGCGTGGCAACCTGTGCGTCGCTCGGATTTTTGTCAACAAGGAGATCAGCCACGATTGTGTCAAGCTCTCTCCAGCAGGAAACGTTTGATGTGTGAGACATTATTTTTGATGGGGTTGCTAGGGAGACATTTTTGGACAAGTTATTTGTTAGTTTAATGGATAATGTTGTTTTGTCGTAGAAGGCGGCTGTATTAATCGCCTCCATGTTATTTCTTCATTTTCGTGACTGTAGAATAACCGCCCTCAGTAGTATCAATGGCCGACTCCTAACTGAGATGATCATAATCATTCTCGATAGTACTAATAGTCGATCCCTAAGATGAACATACACACCCTCAACAGAGTAAATGTCCCACCCTTAACTAAGATACTGCATTCGAGGCATTCATGTGTAATCGATTTCGCAGAATTTTAGAAAAGCAAACGCATTATATAAAAAAAAAAACTTAAAACCGCCAATTGTAAGCCACGAAAAAATACATTACACTTTCTATATGCATCGATTATATTGATCGCCTGGTATTTTGACTAAGGCTTTGAAAAACGATTTATGCCGGTAATTTCACTGCTGTAGAATACTGGGCAAGTCACGCAGAAAGGAAAAATCTGAATGAAGTTAAAAAGAATGATGCCAAGTCACGGTTTTCAATTTCATGCCTGACAGATAATTAATTATTTAACCAAAATATTCAAGCAAGTCACACCGTCACACGCCCGTGTCTCTCGATGCACTGAAATCATTCACATGTTATTCTGCTTAATTGCAGTGTGAAACATTTATTAATAAACATATATTGATATAATTGATATATTAATAAAAAAATAAAAAAATAAAACTTTTAAGATGTTTCGGTCTCGAGAGAATCATTTTAGTTTGGACAGTGTAATCATTACAACTTCGATATTAATTTCCGTGAAAATGAAATGTGACAAATAGACATTCCGCAATTAACTTACATGACTTACTTTTAAGCTTTTAAACGGCGATCGTCGTCACCGTGACCACACACACACACACAAATCGATGCTTGATTTGAAGTGTGATTTGTTCTCATGGATTGCATCGATTCGAATTTCTCAAAATAACCCATCAACGTAAGTATGCGAGAAAAAAAGAACTCAAAATGCCGAAGGTAATATGTGTCTAATTAGTAAAGAAATACACAATATTCTTGCCCTCTGGTCAATTTCTAAATATGTCCCGCCATACCTGTTGTTATTGTACGTTCATTGATAGCGGTGCATGGCAGAAAGTAAATATTGATTCAAATGCAATACCTCCAGTAACGGGTGACGCGCTCCGGAGAAAGAAAAAAAGTCTGAGCTTTTAATGTTTATCGATTGATTTGTCGCGGTTTTATTCCACAACAGACGATGCAACACAATAAGAACTTCCAGTATATGTGTTCGTATTGCTATGTGGTATGCGTAATGAGCTGACACACATATTTCGGTGACACAGGCGCATTTTTGTTGAGATCGCATTTATCGTTCAGTGGTTTCCATGGTAAACTAATTTCACGTTGCCTATTCTTTCCTTTTTTAAGAAAAAAATACCGCAATATATACAGTGTTTTACATTTCTGCCGATGGTCATGAATGCTGACACGGTAGAGAACTTGATAGGGTTTAGATTATGAGATTTACCGGTAGAACACGTTGAACTTGAGATGGGGTGATGTAACATCAAGTTACAGAAAATCTGTATTTATCAACGTTATTCAACAGTGTTACTTGCATTTAGATTAACATGCCCGTATGTTTAAATAAAACATGAAATAGCAAGTTGCAGCTGAATTTGGCGTGGTGACCAAGTTGTTAAATCGCATGCCGATGCTTGCGCGCGTAAAACTTATCATAAGTGTCTTTAAGTACATACTATGGAGGACTAATGGCCTGCTTGACAAGTTCACTTCTGACTTTACTTAAATCGACATCAGTCATTAAGAGTCGCCTAGTACAATCTGAACAATTTAAAATAAGTTATATTGCTGATTTTTGAGTTTAATTTATGTGTATTATATTGTCAAATTTAACCAGCGAAAGATGAGATGACACAGAACATACACAATCTCATTCCAATCAGATTAGAATTGCGGTAACTTTGCTTCGAAATTAAAACTACTTTATTTTTATTTCTAGTCCCGAGTCGCCTGGCACAGTTGGACCACCCCATCCAATCCCCGTCCAGAGAACTCTTCACGGACGGTCACGTGGGTCAACCGAAATTAGGATTTTCTGCAAGCCTATTGGCCCAGATGGGCGGCAACACCGTTGAGGGAGATGTTCATGATTTGAAGAACTGCAAGTATATACGGTTTCACGAGATTGTAACGCCAGAGCAACGGGAACTACTTCGACGCCGACGGCAATCGAGCTGGGGACAGCAGCCTGAAAGTTTACCGACTGCCGCGCCGACCAGTATAAAGAAGGTACCACTGCGATGAACACATCAATGTGTTATATATTGAGTATGTTGGAACAAACATTACCCCATCTGAAGGAAAGGAGATGAGTGTGCCTCCCGTCCATTTTTAATATACCGACTTTGTTGTATGAACGCTAAATTTGGGCCAAGCAGACTGGGCTTTTCAAACAGATGCTTCGGTCCAGATACAATTTAGCGAGCTTGGGATAATTTTGATAAAAAAACGACAATGTACATGATATTTTGTGTCCGCGGGATTTGTGTACAAATTCGATGGTAAACTAACCATTTTGAGTGTTAATTGCGTTTTCTATAGGAGTAAGTAACTGTGGTGTGATAATAGCAGTCGGGATTCCTAAGTGACTTATTCAAGAAGGGGAAATAATTCTAGACTAATATCATAGTACTCCATGCATGAATGCAATGTATATCTTTTCTATATCACCTAGTCTTGTTCTATAAATTATCAACTTTCAAGATGGCGGACTACATATACAGAAGAAAAGTTCAACATCTAAAGGAGGGAAGTGACGATAAAAAAAACTGTAAATTAC